ATTAAAGTATGATAGCTAAGGAGATGGATCTATTTGCATTTCTAGTTATAGCCTAATGTTAGCCAGCTAGCTAACATTGAACCTGGTTGGTGAGCTACCTACAGATTTATGCAGGGTAGTAACGTTATGCGTTGGGATTATGGTTCATTGTTTAGCAAGATAGCTACATGTCTAAACAAAAGACTCCACTATGCACGTTACCATTTCAATAGAACATTCATGATGTCACTGCGACAACTGTCGATAGACGTAGCTGGTAAATTCGCTCTGGATCTACTCCGATTTCAGAGCACTTGTCTGAGTGTGCCAGAGCGCAGAATAACTGAAGAATTTACGAACGTTCAACACCATTGAATATGGCCGGTATGTGGTTAGTAACTGTCGATCTGATGTCCAGGGTGCTTGGCGATCATATGTGATAATAGTATGAACTTTCTGTACAAAAAAAAGGAAAGATAAACATGATAAAAGTCACTAAATAGCAAAGTTGGGTTGGAACTCGTAAGATGTCACCCTTCTCCGTCATATTTTTGCTAGACTGCTACATTAAGTAGGCTAGTCTTTCGTATTCCCTAGTCTTTTTCGTTTGGTTGCTACAGTAAGTATCCTAGTCTTTGTAGCCTATTGTCCTGTCTGTTTGTCAATTAAAACTTGAACTTCAACTATTTATTTTGCCTTGAATACCTAGACTGGAAATGTATACATGTCTTCACTATCAAGTTTACACTGTGGGCTTACAAGCACTGTAAGTAAAACCATAATTTTTCTCTGTCTGCTGTCCAACTGTGTGCCCCAAAACCCAACTAACTAGGCTACTGGGTCTGTTATTCTTAACAAGAGTATTCATTGATTTAAAATAACAAATATTTGTTGAAAAAATAAATAATTTCAGGTGAATTTCAGACTGTTTCTTTAATAGATCACTGAAACAGCTGAGTGTGTCTTTTGACCCTGACACAAACAGAAACTACTACAGGAACTTTACATCACTGACTGAAAAACACACAGGCACAGACATGACAACCATTGGTCTCCTTCTCTCTCTCATTATCATACAGTACAGGTGTTCTAGATATAGAAAGATGAGAAAATGTATCCATCGTTGTGCCCTAATTGGCACCCTCTTCCCTATATAGTGCACTACTTTTGACCAGGGTTCATAGGGCTCTGGTCAAAATTAGTGCACTATATAAGGAATAGGGTGCCATTTGGGACACACAATCTGCTCAGGGACGCAGTCCAAAAATCCCCATTCTACTGCTTCATCAAACGTTGTGCACAGACACCTTTTATAACTATATTATTTGACATTCCTCTGTACCTTCATTTGCATATGAGACCATATCCTCTACTGACTCCAACCAAGCAACATCACATCATGCATTGCATCTTTTAACAATGGATCTATTGGCAGTACAACAGGGATTTCAAACACATTGAGTCCATTGGTTCAAATCATTGTACTGGCTGTATATATTAATACATCAAATAACACTGATCTAAAGCAGTGGTGGCTGTTGCCTTTTTAAACCAGACGACAGGCTCATAGTAATGGCTGGAATGGAATAAATGGAAAGGCATCAAACACATGGTGTCCATGTGTTTGATAACTTTCCATTCCAATCTATGAGCCATCCTCCCCTCAACAGCCACCACTGACCTAAAGAAATCCTTTGGCCATTAGACCTTCAGATAAGGGGCTAGCTATGATGGAGGCAGACACCCATAGGACTCTGGTCAAAGGTACCGCACTATATAGGGAATAGGTAGCAATTTGGGATGCAACCCAAGGCCTGGCTGGGTGTGAGGCCTTGAATTGCGTCCATATTAACTACCCAATGGGCACAGACGTCAGTTCAACGTCTAGTTTCTATTTACATTTGGTTGAGTTGTCAACTAATGTAATTTCAACGTGAAATCAACAACAAATGTGACCGTGTCATTGGATTTGATTTTTCAAATCAAATCAGTTTTCCACGTTGATTCAACGTCATCACATTGAATATTTGGTTGAAATGACGTGGAAACATCGATTCAACCAGTTTTTGCCCACTGGGTACTGTTTATGCTGTTTACTGTGGTATACAGTATATCTACAGACAATGTAACTGAACTAGTCTGGTTTATTGGCACCATACATTTACAGCATTTTTAATACATCTTCAGTGTTTCTCTAATATAACAATACTCAGGGCAGCTTATGTATCATTAGATCAATTAATTATCCATCAATAGCTGACAATCAATTGCCCCTTTGCTGACTGATATGCACCACATCAAAATGTTTGTTACATTAAGTGAAAAAAAAGGTTGTCAGCTATTGAGCCACCAGTTACTGTGTAGCACAGGGGGATGCTGGGACCACCAGCGGCCATGATTGAACCTCTGCATGAACTCTCTTCTGCATCCCAAATGGAACCCTATTCCATATATAGTGCACTTTGGGGCCCTGGCAAAAAGTTGTGCACTTTAAAGGGGATAGGGTGCCATTTGGCACATACCCTCTCTCTATCCCTCCCCTCTAAACATCAAACAGAACTCCTGGGCTGCTACTATGTTTGGCACTAATGTAACTCCATATTGGACTCCTTAAAAAGTGCAATTATCCCTAGGTAAGAGCTAAACAGCCAATCGCCACAACAACTGAAATCTCTCATTTCTACAACCTCCTCCTCTCTCTCTGGCTGTGATTGGTTCCAACCAGGATTTCTGGAAAACCGGGGAATGTTGGGAAAGTTAATGGAATTTTGGAACCCTATCAAGGAGCCTAAATAACCCAATGTCTTTAGCACTGATCCTAGACCAGTCCAACCACATCTTTACCAAACACTGTCCACCAAGGGTTCTAACCTGCTTCAATAAGAGTTGATTCTAGACCAGGCTATTATTGCAGACAGACAGAAGTAAACATGTGAACACAAATAGAAAGAAGGACAACAAGGATAAATACAATCATTCTGTACATGGCTGCTATACAAAATAGTTCACCCTGTTTGTTTGTTGGTGTTTACACTCAATTGCTTTAATACAGTAGAAACCGGATCATAATAATTTTGTCAACAACAAAGACATGGGTTGTGTCCCACATTGCACCCTATTCCCTATATAGTGCACTACTTTTACCCCTGCACTACCGGCCCTGGTTGAAAGTAGTGCACTATACAGGGAATGGTATGCCATTTCAAACACATGGAGAAGAAGAGAAACACTGGCATAGAGGAGAAAGTATTTCAAACGCTTCATAAATCAATGCAATTAGCATGAAGACTGGGACTCCCTGCCTGCCCGCCTGCCCGCCCACTCCTAACCCCTCCCAGAACCAATACTCCACCTCAATGTGACCCAACACCCCCCATATAAAGATCAAAGACAGTATTAACATAAAGGGAGATTGATAGAGGAGATAGAGTGTGTGTGTGGGCGTGCATCCGTGATAACCAGGTCAAAGTCATAGGATGCATCCTAAATGGCACCCTGTTCCCTATATAGTGCACTACTTTTGACAGGTCAAAAGTAGTGCATATATAGGGAAAAGGGTGCCATTTGGGACATAACCAGAGAGTTCAATATTAAAAGCATTGACAATCTGTTCTCAGTGAAGGGCATTGGGGTTAGTTTAAGACTAATTTTAAGACTCAACAGTAACTTCATCATTATTACTTTAGGCTGGCTGGCTACTGAAAACATGTAGTATGTGCTTTCTGTCAAATATAGGCTGGTTTATATGTATATAGCACAACACACAAAATCACATATTTCCCTGTTTTTGTGTTTAACATATTATTGATCAAAATACCAACACATACATACAGTACTGCATTACATATTGGAGCAACAGTAAGTAACACTGTTTTGTTTTCAGAGCATTAGAGAGATTCTTAGAAAATAAGAAACACAAGCTTGCGTCCCAAATGGCACCCTATTCCCTATATCAAATCAAAAACACAGATTTGCAGATGTTATCGAAGGTGCAGCGAAATGCTTGTTTTTCAAGTGCACTACGTTTGACCAGAGCCCTATAGGCCCTGGTCAAAATAGTGCACTATATAAGGAATAGGGTGCAATTTGGGACACAGTCACAGTGAACCACCACCACCAGTATTGATTGTTCAGTCCCTTTAGGAGCAACACTTGGCCAGAGGTGGTGTGGTGGACTGTACATATTTACTGTATACACTGCTACACCGCAGCAAAGACCGAATCAAAGACAAAAGCAGCCAAGAAGCAGATCTGGGTTTCAATTACTTGAAGAATCGATTCAAAAAAATCTGTGCATGTTTAAACTTGCCTGGCTTAATAAACCAATAGAAAAGTCCCAAAACTCCAAACCCTGCCCATCTGTCACTCCAGGCAGACTCAAGCAATCGCTCAAAGTTTTTGAAAATATTTTTGAAGTATTTGATCCCAGGTCTGCCAAAAAGTCCATATTGCAGCTCCAGCTGGAGATATGTACTCAGTACTGACACTTAGCTAAACAACATGATCACTGACTGAAATAACTCTACTGACCACAGAAAGAAACAGACCAGGACAGATCAGCCATGGTGTATTACCATAGGCCCCGGGTCCATAGGTCCACAGGGTACCCCAAATCAGAGGGACAGAGAGGTGGGTGCATCATATTGACTGAGAGGTGTGTGCATTTGTATCCAGAATAACTCCAAGTCAACAATATGAGGCAAGTTTATTTCCCTAGTTTGTTTGTGGTTGTCCTCTCTCTCTCTCTCTCTCTCTCTCTCTCTCTCTCTCTCTCTCTCTCTCTCTCTCTCTCTCTCTCTCTCTCTCTCTCTCTCTCTCTCTCTCTCTCTCTCTCTCTCTCTCTCTCTCTCTCTCTCTCTCTCTCTCTCTCTCTCTCTGTGTGTGTCTGTCGGCAGTTTCATTGGCCACCCATGATATTTGTAAAATCCCTTATTCTCGTCATAGTCCTGGCTGAGGAGGGGCGGAGCCACAGTAGGGGGTGGGAAGGGCATGTTGATTGACATGCCTTCTGGTCCTTCCCTTCAGCCACAGGAGATGACAGTAAAGCGTTTAGAGATACAGGACATGTTGTGGAGCACGATTCCCAGGAGAAAGAGCAGGACGCAGGCTACCAGGATCACTGTACACACTCCGGACCACGTGGAGCCCTTCCCCCCTCCACCACCACCTCCCCCGACTCCCCTTCTCTCTGTCTCCTCCAGGCCATTGAGACTCATCCCCAGACCCAGTGGCTGCAACTCAGGCATAGCCACCACCGCCACATCCACCTTCTGCTGCCCACTGCCACCTGGCAAGAACCGGCAGCCGAGTTCCCCAGGCAACAGTGCCCTCTCCTTGGCGACAGGCAGGGGCAGCATGTAGCAGCCGTTGCTAGGCAGGCGGATAAAGACCGGTGTGTGCTCGGAGGCGTGCGGGATGGCGATGACGGTGATGATGTCGGGGTCGTCGGGGAGCTGGGAGACGGAAAAGCCAGCTGGGAGTTTGGTGACGCCACGGCACCAGGGGCAGCGGATCTCTTTCTGGCTGGATCTCATCTGGGTCAGGCACACGGAGCAGCACGTGTGTCTGCAGTCCAGCAGCTTGGGCCTCCGCCGCGGGCTGTAGTAGTTAAAACAGATCTGACACTCCAAGATGGAGTCCTGCGAGAGAGACAGAGTCTCCATTTTGTTATGGATTGTTATGATGGGTCCTTGATAGCCTGGTCGAGCAGACTGACCGTTGCGCTCACGTTTCGTTTCACTTACTTGTCAGAATGTGAGCTATTACCAGAATAGGCTGGTTTCACAAGGCTGGTTTCAGAAGAAAGGAGAGAACGTGCTCAACTCTTATCCTCTTGCGTAAACAAATGAAAAGGTGCTTGGAACCCTTTGTTGTAATAGGCTGGTGTTTTTGTGAACTGCAACACAAACCAGGATGACAAAGAAGAATGTATTTTATTATTTGACTGTATTAGCAGAAAGCCAAATGTTATTCAGATCCTCTACAAGCGCTTGAATCCTCCTCAGAGCAAAGCTGCGCTGTTTAAGCATGTAGCCTCTCCTCTGCTCTCCTCTCCTCTCCTCTGTGCTCTGCTCTGCGTCCCTCCGTGTGTCCTTCCACCCACCTGCCGTCTCAGTGTCGGTGTGATGTCACAGGACGATCGAGGTCACATGGTGGTTCATCTGTGAAACAAGAGAGAAGACAGCCGCATTAATGGGCTGAAGAGAACCACGGGTCAGAGAGGGTGTGTGTAGAAGTGGGCATCAAAATAAGATCAGGGGCATGGCATGGGCAGAGTAGCGGGCAGCTGGGCATTTAGGCTTTGTGTGTGTCCCAAATAGCACCCTATTCCCAATATAGTGCACTACTTTTGACCAGAGCCTTATGGGGAATAGGGTGCCATTTGGTAGGCAGCCTTTGTCCCCCTCATTTCCCCTTGGGCTGCCACATCAGCAGGAATCACACACACACACACACACACACACACACACACACACACACACACACAGAGAGAGAGAGAGCTCTCATCAGACACACACACACACACAAACACAATAGAGAAATAACTAACATTACAGTAATGTGTGAGAAAGCTCATACAGGCCACATCATGCAGAGCAAAGAGAAAGGAAGTCATAACACGAGTCATTCCATGTCATTTCAACAAGCCATGACACCCACCATCTCAGATTGTTCTGAAATCGTTCCTGTAGTTAGAAACTGGTAAGATTGGCATTCCTTAATCATTATTTTGTTGAAATTTTAAATGATTTCAGAGAAATAAGGGCGGCAGGTAGCTTAGTGGTTAAGAGCGTTGTGCCAGTAACCGAAAGGTCGCTGGTTCTAATCCCCGAGCCGACTAGGTGAAAAATCTGTCGATGTGCCCTTGAGCAAGGCACTTATCCCTAATTGCTCCTGTAAGTCGCTCTGGATAAGAGCGTCTGCTAAATGACCTATTATTATTATTATTATTTAGAAATGAAGCTAATTGATTGCACCCAATTGCCCATTTTAATTTACAGGATTCCAAATCAAATCAAATCAAATCAAATCAAATTTTATTGGTCACATGCGCCGAATACAACAGGTGCAGACATTACAGTGAAATGCTTACTTACAGCCCTTAACCAACAGTGCATTTATTTTAAACAAAAAAAGTAAGAATAAAACAACAACAAAAAAAGTGTTGAGATAATATTCAAAAAATATAGTACCCAACATCCGATTTGGAGCAAACTTCATCCTACCAATGAGTAAGGCATGAGTAGGGCTGTTGCGGTGACCGTATTACCGCCACACAGGCAGTTACGAGTCATGAAGGCAGTTAAATTCCACATGACCGTTTAGTCACAGTAATTAGGCTTCTCCAAGCTCTGATGCTGTTGATGGTCATTAGTAGCTTACCAAACTTGCTAACTGCCTGGTACTCAGGACTCTATTGTCCCTCTAATCACAATGCAAATGTGTTTGAAAATCTAATCAAACACTTCACGAGAGCCCATGAGCTCATGTTGCGCAACATTTCTATAGGCTATGCAATTGCAGGAGAAAACTGGAGGAGTTTGGCCGTTAATAAAAAGAGGAGGATCCCATCAGCTTTCTATAGGCTAGGCCTACTATATTTATTTCTCAACTTTTCTAATATTAAGCACATTGCTTATACTAACAACAGGCATGAAAATAAACCACGGTGAAAAGTGTTCTCCATTCGCTATTTAAGTGCATAGATGACATGTATTTTTTCCTGCTGCCCCTGTTTCGATACAGGTGCATGATAATGGTCCATTCTAAATCAAAACAAACGTCACACATATTATTTAGTATATGTAAAGATTAAATCAAGAATAGTCTGATGGGTAACAATTTTACCCTATCACTTGTGAATGATGCCCAGCATACTAAACAATGCCTTTTTTTTGCCACTTGTTCGAATCATAGTCGCACACCTCATGTAGCCTAGCCCATAGGCTTATATGTTTTAATAAGGTGGCCAACTAACTTCTTAAAATTAAGCACATTCATCCGCTTTACAAGGGGTGTAGAGCCTAACTGGCATATATAAGCAGCGCGTGAGTTTCAAGTTTGGGGAAGATGCATAATTGCATTTGCGGTCACTTTTTATAATGGTGTTTTCCGCTAATGGAACATTCGCGCTTACAGCCTACTACCATGTGCGCATTGCTGCGCTTCTAATGTGACGAAATAGCCTAATAGTTTATCAACATTTTAAGCTAAACGTTCTGATCTGTTGCGTCAGCCACATTGCATAAAAAAAGTTTTTTTGATGCTAGTGGTTGTATTAATTTGGGATCTATCACATCCCACAACTGTCCCAGACTATGTTTGGAATATTTATTTATTGCACAGAATAGAATAGGTTGACTTTTGTACTATGGGTGATAGTAGATTGACATAGGCTAGTGCTTTTGCTGTTCGTTAGGCCTACTCATCTTGTTGGCTGACGAAAAGTAAATGTGAACAGTTCTTCCAATATCTTCAATATGCACCTCGGAATTGGATAAGGACATGCGCAGTTGCGTCCCGGATGTGTCTGTCTTAACTTGTAGCCTGTGAGAAAGACCCGATCACATGACTGAGAGCCGTGTGAGTGAGAGACGCTTAGGATTGCGCAGGCCACCGGGCCGCAAAAGGCATGAATTTTTTTAGGGTGCATTACAGCCACAAAGGGGGTGCCGCTTCTCAAATTGTGAATGAAAGACTATTGGAGTGTGTACAGCCTGCACAAAAAACAAAGCAGAGCTCATGCCTTTCAAGCAACTTTTTTTCAAATCATCATTAGTCTCATCATGCAGCCTTACAATGTATTAAAAATCAAAACATATAGCTCAACATTTGTAGAACAACTAAAGTTACATTAATAACTCTAAATTAAGCATATACAGTGGGGGAAAAAAGTATTTAGTCAGCCACCAATTGTGCAAGTTCTCCCACTTAAAAAGATGAGAGAGGCCTGTAATTTTCATCATAGGTACACGTCAACTATGACAGACAAATTGAGGAAAAAAAAATCAGAAAATCACATTGTAGGATTTTTTATGAATTTATTTGCAAATTATGGTGGAAAATAAGTATTTGGTCACCTACAAACAAGCAAGATTTCTGGCTCTCACCGACCTGTAACTTCTTCTTTAAGAGGCTCCTCTGTCCTCCACTCGTTACCTGTATTAATGGCACCTGTTTGAACTTGTTATCAGTATAAAAGACACCTGTCCACAACCTCAAACAGTCACACTCCAAACTCCACTATGGCCAAGACCAAAGAGCTGTCAAAGGACAGCAGAAACAAAATTGTAGACCTGCACCAGGCTGGGAAGACTGAATCTGCAATAGGTAAGCAGCTTGGTTTGAAGAAATCAACTGTGGGAGCAATTATTAGGAAATGGAAGACATACAAGACCACTGATAATCTCCCTCGATCTGGGGCTCCACGCAAGATCTCACCCCGTGGGGTCAAAATGATCACAAGAACAGTGAGCAAAAATCCCAGAACCACACGGGGGGACCTAGTGAATGACCTGCAGAGAGCTGGGACCAAAGTAACAAAGCCTACCATCAGTAACACACTACGCCGCCAGGGACTCAAATCCTGCAGTGCAAGACGTGTCCCCCTGCTTAAGCCAGTACATGTCCAGGCCTGTCTGAAGTTTGCTAGAGTGCATTTGGATGATCCAGAAGAGGATTGGGAGAATGTCATATGGTCAGATGAAACCAAAATATAACTTTTTGGTAACATTTACATTTACATTTTAGTCATTTAGCAGACGCTCTTATCCAGAGCGACTTACAGGAGCAATTAGGGCTAAGTGCCTTGCTCAAGGGCACATTAACAGATTTTTCACCTAGTCGGCTCGGGGATTAGAACCAGCGACCTTTCGGTTACTGGCACACAACGCTCTTAACCACTAAGCCACCTGCCGCCCCAAAAACTCAACTCGTCGTGTTTGGAGGACAAAGAATGCTGAGTTGCATCCAAAGAACACCATACCTACTGTGAAGCATGGGGGTGGAAACATCATGCTTTGGGGCTGTTTTTCTGCAAAGGGATCAGGACAACTGATCCGTGTAAAGGAAATAATGAATGGGGCCATGTATCGTGAGATTTTGAGTGAAAACCTCCTTCCATCAGCAAGGGCATTGAAGATGAAACGTGGCTGGATCTTTCAGCATGACAATGATCCCAAACACACCGCCCGGGCAACGAAGGAGTGGCTTCGTAAGAAGCATTTCAAGGTCCTGCAGTGGCCTAGCCAGTCTCCAGATCTCAACCCCATAGAAAGTCTTTGGAGGGAGTTGAAAATCCGTGTTGCCCAGCGACAGCCCCAAAACATCACTGCTCTAGAGGATATCTGCATGGAGGAATGGGCCAAAATACCAGCAACAGTGTGTGAAAACCTTGTGAAGACTTACAGAAAACGTTTGACCTGTGTCATTGCCAACAAAGGGTATATAACAAAGTATTGAGAAACTTTTGTTATTGACCAAATACTTATTTTCCACCATAATTTGCAAATAAATTCATTAAAAATCCTACAATGTGATTTTCTGGATTTTTTTTTCTCATTTTGTCTGTCATAGTTGACGTGTACCTATGATGAAAATTACAGGCCTCTCTCATCTTTTTAAGGTGGAGAACTTGCACAATTGGTGGCTGACTAAATACTTT